CGTCCCCTCCCTGCCCCCAGCTGGGAGCTCCAGCTGGGGCTTCTGGCCTGGGGCCACATGGCTGTCCCACGCTGGAACTGCAGGTAAGGGCGGGGGGTGGGGAGGGCAGGGAAGGAGTCTGGCGATATGTGGCCTGGGAAAAAGCTGAGCGCGGGGAAGGAGCCCCTCCCCTGTCCTGCGGCCGGTGCTGCAGCTGCTTGCAGCCTGTGCCTGCTCCAGACAGCCCCTCATTCTTGCAAGTGGCTGCAGCAGGGAGCGCCGGCCGTGGGACGGGCTGCTTCCCTCCCATCCCCCGTGCTCAACTTTTCCCCGGGCTCCTTCCCGGCATGGAGGAAAGCAGCCCTTCCCTGCCCCATGGCTGGCCCTCCCTGCTGCAGATGCTTCCAGCCCGTGCAGTGGGCTGCAAGTGGCTGTAGCACGGGGCACTGGCCATGGAACAGGGAAGGGGCCACTATTCCACCCCCCCTGTACTCAGCACCATCTTTTAACCGGACCCCACAGCCAGCCTGGGCCCCATGCTGGCTCCGGGCTTGCCCGTTGGGTCTGCGTGTGGCGACAGGAGCTGCGGCCCCTCTGGTTGCCACTCTGGGCAGGCAGCAGAAGCCAACACTGTTTGGAGCGGCAAGCGTGGGGTGCTGCAGCTGCTGTCGCTGTGTGCAGCCCCGACAGGTGAACCTGGAGCCAGTGCGGGGCCCAGGCTGGTAGTAAAGTCAGGTTACAAGCTGGTGCTGAGCATGGGGGGGGGAGAAGCAGCCCCTCACCCGCCCTGTGCCCAGTGCCCTGCACTGCAGCCACTTGCAGCCCATGTGGGGCTGCCTGTGCCTGCTCCAGATGGCCCTGCATGGGCTGCGAGCGGCTGCAGCAGGGAGCATCAGCCATGGGTTGGGTGAGGGGCCAATTTTCCCTGCGCTCAGCACCAGCTTCTTTCCTGCCGGTGAGCAGGGGTCAGGTCTGTGTGCTGCTCCCTACCTGTACTGCAGGGCTAGGGGGCACTGGGAGTGAGTGGGTAGGGAGCCAGTGGGAGCACAGGGCCCACACTGGTCTAGAGCAGGGCAGCAGAAGTACAGGGTCCTGGCTGGCAGGGGCTCTGGGGAGCCGGGCCAGTTCCCCCCTCTCCCTGCTAGTGCAGCCCAACCCAGCTCCACAGACCCCTGCCAGCCTGTGTCCTGCTTTGGACCCACTGGTGCTGGCCCTGGGACATTGGTCCCAAGATGGTGATCAGGGGTGGGGCACCTGTCAAGGGGCAGGGCTACCCATGCGGCCCTTGACAGCCTACCAAAACTGGGTAAGCGGCCCTCCACCCAAAATAATTGCCCACCCTGATCTATCTGGTTTCCCCTACCAATGGCCCTTCCACCTTCCCAGACTGTCCTTGTTTTCAGAATGGGAGGGGGGAAAGGGAGCAGAGGGAACTTGTCTAGGGTTTCCTCAGCCAGAGCTGGAGGATGGAGTGGGTAAATTGGAGTCTCCCCACCCCCCAGCCTCCAACAGGGGCTAAAATAAATCCCAGACTGAACTCCCTCTGCTCCCTTTTCCTCTTCCCATTTTGAAAATAGCGACAGGCTGGGAGGCAATGCAGGCAGAAATTATGGAAGATGCTCTGTTCTGAAACATCTTTATCTGACCCCTCGTGGTCAGATCAGGCAAACATTGTCACTTCTGTCTGTGCCCATAATCCTTTCCCTTTCCTGGTAGGGGGACCCTTTCTTAACTACCTTATAACAACACTCTGCCCTGTTGTGTCCATCTATAAAGTGTTCTTTACAAGAGTTAGACGAGCTTGCCTTAGCACCTCCCCACCCCGTAGCTGTCCCTCCGAACACTGCCCCTGTACAAGCCCCCCACACCTTCCCCCCAGCCACTTCCACTTGTCCTACACAGCTAAGCCCATCCCACTCCTGCCTGCAGCTCATGGTGCCTCTCTTTAAGTTAAAAAAAAAAAAAAAAAAAAAAAAAAAAAAAAGTATGTTTGGCCAGAAGACGTATAGTGGAGCCCCCCCCTCGATTTTCTGCTAGCCCACCTCAGCCCCCACACTGGGAAGACGTTGGTGCTGTCCTTTGCAAAAGGTCTTTGTGTTCTGAAGATCTGTATATCCCAGGTCAGTCCAACAAAGATCACTGATGCTGTCAGTTACCCTCCTTTAAATACTTTTTGGTTACGCTGCCAGAGTTCCCAGAGGACAAGGACCAAGAGTTGCTGCTGAAGTGGAAAGTAGAGAGAATGTTGGCTTGGAGTGGAATCCAGGAGAGCTGGATGCTCTTTTCTGTGGACTTCTCTCTGTGATCTTGTCTTTTCTCTGTGATCTCTGTGCTAGCTTCTTTGTCCTTGCTCCCCACCTATAAAATAGGGTGATAATACTTCCCTCCCTCACAAGGGGCCTAGATTCTTGAGTATTCTTGAGTATATGTCAAGAGCTCAGCTGCTGCCTTGGTGGTTATCAAGGAGTTTGTCTACACGTGTGTAAATCTGCTGTCACGTTCACCCCTGCAGCATCTCTGGAGTGACTGTATATGATCGTAAATGAAAGCAGTATTTTCCTCTTTCTTTCTTTCTAAATACTATTAAGATCCCCCCCCCTTGTTTAGAGGTGATTGAGACTGAAGTGTGGGGGGATTGCCATGTGCATTTTCCTTAAGCCTGGGTTTCTTGTAAAGTGTTCCTGCTTTACAAGTGTTGTGCTTATTCCATGAGAACATTCTGAAAGGTGTTTTCCTGGCAAGAATTATGAAATGAGTCAAACAATCCTTCCTTCCCACCACACCTTTTTCAGTTTTCACCATAAAAAAATGTATATGATAAAAGAAACCCCATGCTGTTGCATTAGAATGTTTCCTTCAAGGATGCTGTATTCAAGTTCAAACTTACTGTGTTCTCCAACAGCTCCATAAGTGACCTAATGAGTTCTTCATCTTAAACCTCTAAGTCACTTCCAGTGTTCCTTTTCTACTCAATTCTTTTTCTTCCTTTCCTTTTGTTTGTCTTATGTCCTTCACAACTCTGTGATATTAAGAATTTAGGCTGTTTGTGGCTTACTGGGTCTTTTTTTTTGTAATTTACACCTATGGAGGCTGCTGCTGGCCTCTGCTGACTGAACAGGTCACAGAGATCTTGCTTCCTCCAGTGTCAGGGCTCACTATGCTTACTTCCCACTGGCCTACCTCTTTTTAAATTTCTTTTTCTGAATAAGCTCCACCTCTCCCATCTAACAAAAGCTGTTGGATGCAGAGAAAAGTTTGGCATTGTTCAGTCTTGCAACATTTTTACCTTCCCTTACTAAAGTCACTCGCACTAGGGAGAGGAATGATTCATTTTCTTCTTCATCTGTCTAAATATATAAGGCAGCATGCCTTTTGTTGATAGGAGGGAATGACCCAGCTCAGTCCAGCAAACTCTTTTTGCTTTGTGGTGGGGGAAAAGAGTAGGCAGCTAAACTGAAAATGCTGTTTCAGGAAAGGTACAGATCAGATTAAGATGTGGAGTGTGAAGGAACAGAGGGTGCTCCAGTGTGCAATAATTACAGCATGTCAGAGCAAATTAATTACCATGCTCCAGAAGAGTCCAGTGTCACATGTATCAGCATCCGTGCACTGAAAAGTGTCAGGTAGGGTGCTTTAAATAAGGTTCATTTGAGGAGCTTTAGTTAAAGCACCCCCACTGTCATTTTTCAGTGTGGGGACACTGATACCCATGATGCTCCAGGCACTTTAATTAGAGTGGCTATTGAGCCCCGCTAATTAAAGTGCCCCCCTCCACTCCCGGAGCATGTGTATAAATGCCCATAAATGCTAAACTCAGTACAATTTGACCACAAGGTAGTTACCTTGATTTTATATATTTTGTATGAAGATCCATATTTTGGAAATAGGGTTAATTATATAGATAACTGTCAATTGAAATGTTAAATGTTATATGGTCTCAAGTAAACAAAAGCTAAGGGTAGTTGTTTTGTTTTGTTCTGTTTTTTGCTCATCTCTTCAGGTTTGCAATACAACTACAGATCGGAAACATGCAGACACATTTCTGGAGAAGTACGTCACTGAGCCAGTAATGAACATTGTGAGTGGCTTCTTCAATTCTCCATTTTCAGATAACAGCACCAGCCTCCAGGTAAGAATGAGACTCTTAAAAATACGTAATTCAGACCATTCCTGAGTCTCCTGCCTGCTAAAATGTTATTTCTCCCTTTACTTTTTGTTCCCTTTCTTGTATCTCACATTAACAGTGTAACTCTCTCTAAATTTGCCATTCACAAATTTAGGATCTTAATCCAATGAAAGGGCTTGTACAGATTTGTACAGAGCTTTTTCACTTGACTTTTGCATCTTCAGTGAGACTTTGCATGAGTGATCCTTTGGTGGGATCAAAGCCTTCATTTTATCCTTTTAACACAGAAACATTAGTGCCTAAGACGGAAAGGTCTCCTGAGAGCTCCTGAGTCTTTCTGAATTAGTCTGGAAAGTACCATCCTTGCTTGCCTTCTGTCCTAACACCACACTGCACATTGGACATTGGTGAGAATTTTACTTGCGTAAGGACTGCGTGATTTGATATTACCAAACCAGTTTCTTTTTTGTTTTTTCTTTTTTGCTTGTCCTGATGAGTGATAAGGGTTTAACTGAATTATAATTAAAGCACACAGGGCCTGAAAACCATGCATGTAGTTTATGGTCTGTCAAACCCTAGGGCAGTTGTGAAGAGACTTTAAAGTGTAACATTCATTGTTTACCTTTGTTTTCAGACACATCAGCCAGTTTTTATTCAACTGCTGCAGTCTGCTTTCAGAATTTACAACTGTACGTGGCCAAACCCAGCACAGAAAGCCTCCGTGGAGTCATGTATTAAAACTTTGGCTGAAGTGGGTAGGTGCCAAGTTTTGTTTAATTGTTCTATGCTGAGGTTTAAAGTAAAAGGATGCCTATACACGAGTGCGGAGACTGCTTCTACGTGTTGGAATTCCAGCATGTTGGAGAAGACTTGATTAATCAAGTCAGCTGAAATGTGGCAGTTGCTGTGCTCCAGCAGCCTCCTGCGTCTTGTGTATTAGCCTCTCTGCACTTAAAAATGGCAGTGGAGGCTACAGCTCTTCAAACAAGCTTTAGTTCAAGTGATCCCATCACCATTTTTAAGCACAGGGACACTGATACATGAGACATGGCAGCACCTTAATTAGAGCTGCTCTCAGAACCACTGTAATTAAAACACCACCTCCCTAGCCCCTGGAGCATGTGTAAAAGTGCCCAAAGCTACTTGGGGTTGAAGAATTGTTTTTCTGGATGTCACATCATGAGAAAATTTTGCCATAATTTTAACATAGTTTAATCTTAAAACTCCTGTCGCTTGATGATAGTTGTTTTCCTCATTTATACCCTTTTCAAGCCAATCTCATTAAACATGGTGACTGTTTAGGAGAGTGAGGCTCTTCAGAGCTGTTAAGTGAAGGTAGAATTTGACCCTTAGCAGAGAGCAATGTTTTCTATAATAGTGGAACTTGGATTCTATGCAGGGTCCTTACCTCCTGGTCTCCCTCCCTCCCCCCTCACTCCCATCACCCAAAACGATATGTGAGGTGTCTTTATTTCTAAGGGTGCTGCTTCTCTGATCAGCTGCATGGGTTCATAGCAGTGCTCCAGCTGAGTGAAGGAATGGTGCCCTTTGAAGTAAAAATTACATCATCAATCGGCTCAGGGGACTTTTCTGAATTTGACAACCCATGGCAAACTAAGCAGGTTGTAAACCATCCCTGTATGAAAAATCTAGGTTCCCCTGTATGAAAGTATGACGTAACCTTACATAGAAATTATCTCAAACTGTGTGAAACCATAGAAACGTCTTACCGTTTTTTGAAGTAAATTTTGTCATGTGAGACAACCTGTAGGCGAAGGGCTGGTACACAGTTGTTGCACCCTGGCTCCCCAGTTCACCCAAGAGAGGAATTGTGGATTGGGGTGCCAGAATTTCTGCCTACCTTTTTCATTACTTCTGGGAAATATTTATTTATTTTTAGCCCGAGTCCTGGGCTGGCTCAGTGGTTCTGGTTAGTGAGTATCAGATTGAGTACCACATGGACTTACTCATAGTACTTCCCTGCTGACTCTTCACTATTCTGCTTTAGACAAAGACTGGATGAGTGCCTTTGCTTGCTTTTTTATTCTCACACATAAGGGTGAATTCTTTCCATTCTGCCAGGGCACAGAATGCCCATTACAATCTTGCCCCTACACTGATTATGTATCTTACTGGTAGTGAGCTGGAATTCATTAAAGCAGACCATGCCACTCTGATTTGCTTTGAAGCCAGTGGGACAGCTCTGTATGAGTAAGTGCTCAGGAGTGAGAAGTATAAGCATTCTATCTGTCTGGCCCTCACTGAATTCTATAATCTCTAATGAGTAAATACTTCAGAAAATATGAGAATTTATCAAAGGAATTAATAATGTTCACATCAAAGCAGACTTTAAACAACTCTTTGGCATGATTGAATCCTAAAAAACACCATACTGTCATATAGCTAATACCAGCAAAAGTTCATTCCAAAGTTTAAATGTCTGCAAAATCACAATTTTAGAGGCTTCTGCTTTGACATAGGAAAGATAATTCAATATAGATATGCTTCTAAAAGTGAGTCACTTTGATGGAAAATGTCCTAATTGTGAAGTAAAATACTACTTAGCAGGTGTGTCTACACATGCATTTGATCTGGACTCAATTTACTTGGGTGTAAATTTAGGCAGGTTAAATGCTCCTGGGCAGGTGTCTACACATGTAGGGACTAGGGAGCTGCTCTTAGCACCAAACTTCCTGTAGCCCTGCAATGGGCTTCTGCTGCCACCAGGGAAGCTCTAGGCTCCGGCTGCAGCTGCCAGCCGTCAGCAGTCCTCTTCAAAAGCCAGCTCTGCTCGCTGTTGTCTGGCCAGCTGCTTCCCTGCCCAGGAGCAGCTTGCTCAGTGCAGGGGCAGCATGTGGCAGCTCTCTCCTTGCCCACTTTGCCTCCCTGCACCATGGCTGCTTCAGCCTGTGCCCCTGGTAGTGATGATTAGTGCCCTGGACTTCTGCTGGCTGCTATGTTGGTCTTGCTGGCCCACTGCACTGCCCACCATACCAACCACTGCCTGGCCCACGGCCATCTAGGCCCTCCTGGCTCCCCTGCATGCAGCGATTGTTTGCCTGGCTGCAGCGCACTGACCCAGGGTCACCACTGCTGTGCTCGTGTCCGATGAGGAGTTTCTGAACGCCATCACTGGGGCCATCATTGCCCTTCTGGGCCTCCAGCCTCACTGTCTCTGGGCTCACTGGACCAGCCAGGGCTGGTGGCGGCACATCATCTAGCATGCCTGGGATGATGAGCAGCGGTTGGAGGCCTTCTGCATGACCTAGGCCACCTTCTGGGACCTTGTGGGGCAGCTCTGCATGACCTAGGCCACCTTCTGGGACCTTGTGGGGCAGCTCTGGCCTGACACCACCATGCAGCTGCCCCTCCCTGCAGACACCCTCCTGTTCCTTGCCTTGCTCAAGCTGGCCACGCCTGCCAGCCTGCGGTATGTTGGCCACCTGTTTGGTGTGGGCAAGGCCACTACTGGGGAGGCCTTCCTGGAGCTGTGTGGTGCCTTCCAGGACATGCTGGGGGACGCTCTGCTCTGCATGCACAACCCCCAGGCAGTGGTGGTGGGGTTCCATGCCCTGGGGTTCCCCCAGTGCATCGGGACGCTTGATGGGACCCACATCCCCATCACCTGCCTGCCGCATGGAGACTTGCTTCTGGGTAGTGTCTACATGTTTGTTACTGTGCAGTAACTAATCCCTAGTGTTCCACGTTCTTGGTTTTTACTGATTTTTTTTTTTCACTGAAATTCCCTGATATTTTTTTTTAAGTCATTCAGTTTTTACTGATTTACACCCATTTTTCAGTTCAAATCTCAATGGCCCATTCCCAACTCATGCTGGTTAATAGGGATTTGAACTGAAAAACGGGTGTTGCCAGTAAGCTAAAAGTGCCGCTGTGCCAGTTACCTGAGACACAGGTTTCCAACTGGATGCAGGGGGGCCATGCCCCTCCCTCCGTCCCTTTCCTAGTCCCAGCCTTACTCCCTCCCTCCCTCACCACTGATTTTTCCCTGATTTTAAGCTGGTTTTTTTCCTTTTCTTCTTTTTATCCTGATTTTATCCTGGTTTTTATGTTTCGAAAATAAACACTGAAACGTTCCCAGATTTAAAAAAAAACAAAAAACAAGAATTAGGAACACTACTAAACCCATGTAAATTTGCTACCTACATTTGCATGTGTAGACACGCATGCTTACTGTGCAGTAAACTAGGCTACTGCATATTTAGGCATCTTGTGTGGACACTTGCAACATGAAAAAGAATGGGGTGAAGGCAGAATCGGGATGTTAGATGCTTGATAGAAGATCTAGTTGCTATAACTTTAAAGAAAGTTGCAATAAATAAGAGTAAAACAATATGTGATGGTCTCTTGGCCATTGCTACGTTTATGGCATTGCTACAATTGACTGTATATTTAGATTTTGGACTTGTTTTACAGTGGTATCATTTAACATATTAGCCAAAATACCTCATTAACATTTTGTGTGAATTAGTCTACCTGTTACCCTAAACTTAACAACATTCAGTCATTTTATTTGTTGTGCAAATGATTTAATTATGGCTCCATCTGGCAGAAGCATTATAAAAGTTTAAGATGTTCTACATTCCTTTCCTTACTGATTTTACAGTTTCAAATAAAAGCCACAATCTTACAATTCTTTATCTATGAGTAATGCCATACTTCTTTTTACCTTTTGCATTCTTGGAATAAGACAATTAGTGTTAGGAACTTATTTCCTTTACAAGGAAAGGAATAGGTGCATGGAATATTTTTTGAGTCCTTAAGCACTCTGTGGCTACTACTGGACACATGTGGGTTGTTACGTAATAGAATGCTAGATCTCTAGCCCACAGAGATCAGTGTGCTATTTGGTATGTACACATACATCCTTATTCGTACACAGAAGTGATTGCAGAGTCACCTCAAGATACTGGAATTAGCTTTAAATTAGATAGCTTGTAGAAAAATGGCCATGGCAGCATGGAGCTCTGTACAGGTTAATTCACTTGGCTTCTTGGCAGAATACACAGATGCATAGAAGCCAGAGTGTCTTTTTGTTACCAGTGCCCTGCTATCTGATGGCAAGGTTATATGCTGCAAGAAATAGATTTGATGTAGACCATGAGTTTTCTTCATAGGCAGCTTCATTCCATGTCTCATGGATTTCTTGTATTCTGTCATTCTATTTTTCTTCCTTCTTTTTTTCATATTTTTGTATGTACTGGAGATGATTAAAATAGATTTCATAGATTTCATAGACATTAGCGCTGGAAGGGACCTTGTGAGATCATCGGGTCTAGCCCCCTGCCCAAAGGGCAGGAAGTGAGCTGGGGTCAGATCACCCCAGCAAGATAATCATCCAAACGCTTCTTGAATGTGTCTGGAGTAGGTGCTGGCACCACTTCTGTGGGGAGTCTATGTCAGACTCTGGAGACAAGGACAGTAAAGAAGCTTTTCCTTATGTCCAGTCTAAAATGGTTTTCCAGCAGTTTGTGAGCATTGGACCTTGTCTTCCCTTGGGGTGCCCTGGTGAATAGATGTTCTCCCAGATCCTGATGCACACCCTTGATATACTTATAGGCTGCTACCAAGTCCCCCCTGAGCCTACGCTTTTCCAAGCTGAAGAGTCCCATGCCTCTGTCTTTCCTCATAAAACCTACTCTCTTGACCTCTGATCATGTGCATGGCTCTCCTTTGGACTCTCTCAAGCTTCTCCACCTCCTTCCTAAAGTGTGGAGCCCGGAACTGGATGCAGTAC